ATTATCAGAATTTTAGTTAAAGAGCAGCTAATGAGAAACTTGGATAAATCAAAGACAGAGCTATGTGGTTTATAGTATAATATACAGCTTTTTGGAACTTATCCGACTTTCTGATATATTTAAAAAAAGGGAGGCTTGGTCGAAATTGTGCACTAAATCAGGTTCACAGATTGCTCTAGCAGTCTTAACACCTTCTCTAAATAAACAGGGCCAAAGGGCATTACAAGTATGAATATGCTCATGTTATTTTTGTAGAAAATAAGTTGTGATGAACTGGGGACTTGCTCTACATTAGCAGAAGGGTCACAATGCAAATTGCTACATTACCCATAGACAATTTCACCAAGCTAAACTACCTTCTCCAAAACAAACATTTAGAGAAATGGGCTGGAGAATTCAATAGGAATCAAGATTTGTAACAACTTTTAAACAAATCTTTGGAAAAAGTTCATATTGCAATGGAAATCGTCATATTCTTTTTTATAAATATACTCTAAGGCTATTCTTTCTGATCATTTTCTTATTGTTTTCACATTTTGTATTAACTATAGAAATTATGTTTTGTTTTGTTTTTTTAATTTGATTTATATGCCGCCCTTCTCCGGAGACTCAGGGCGGCTTACAATGCGTTAAGCAATAGCCTTCATTCTTTTGTATATTTTATACAAAGTCAGCTTATTGCCCCCACAAACTGGGTCCTCATTTCACCTACCTTAGAAAGGATGGAAGGCTGAGTCAACCCTGAGCCTTGGAGAGATTCGAACCAGCAGAAATTGCAGGCAGCTGGGTTAATGACAGGGTGCACTAAACCACTGTACTATCAAGGCTCTTTTATGTCAGATGGACTCTTTTTTAAAAAGTATACATATCTAGGATTCAGACTAGCCTTTCCAACTTGGTGTTTTCCAGATGTGATACAATTCCCAGAATTCTAAGTCAGCAAAAGTTGGGAATTTCTACGAGCTGCAATAAAAAAAAATCTAGTGGCTCAAGGATGGGCTTGGAATTTGTTAAGATATTTAAATTTAGTAGCTGGAGCAGTGGGGTTGTGCAATGAGCCAGAACATAGAGTTATAACTGATTGGTTGAAGAGGCAATCTGCACTGTGATTGATTGCTATGGGTGTGGAGGGGGAGTTTCCCTTTTTCCCTGCCTTTTTCTTCCATGATTTACCTCATGATTTACCTCATGATGCTCCCGTTTACCCAACTATCCTGTTTGATGTATATATATAGATGTATATAAAATTACAAGTTCATGTCCAGCTTCATTTGGACCTGCTGCACAATTCCCTGATAGAATTCTAGATACAATACCAACCTATGCAAAGGCAATTTATGTCAGCAAAACTATCTGTTAGAAACAGATGTTGAGACTCTAGAAAGAGTGCAGAGAGGAGCAACAAAGATGATTAGGGACTGGAGGCTAAAACATATGAAGAACGGTTGCAGGAACTGGGTATGTCTAGTTTAATGAAGAGAAGGATTAGGGGTGACATGATAGCAGTGTTCCAATATCTCAGGGGCTGCTACAAAGAAGAGGGGGTCAAGCTATTCTCCAAAGCACCTGAGGACAGGACAAGAAGCAATGGGTGGAAACTAATCAAGGAGAGAAGCAACTTAGAACTAAGGAGAAATTTCCTGACAGTTAGAACAATTAATTAGTGGAACAACTTGCCTGCAGAAGTTGTGGATGCTCCAACACTGGAAATTTTTAAGAAGATGTTGGATAACCATTTGTCTGAAGTGGTGTAGGGTTTCCTGCCTGGGCAGGGGGTTGGACTAGAAGACCTCCAAGGTCCCTTCCAACTCTGTTATTCTATTTTATTCTAACAGCTGTTTGGGACAAAGACAATGTTTACATTTATTGCTGACTGGAAATGCCTTATAGATTTTTGTATAAAACAGAAAAATGAACATATGATTTCAATGTGGATAGGTTATAGAAATAAGAAAGTTAAGTTGTAACCACAGAGTAAGAGGTAAATTTATAATTGTAATTATCATTGCTGTAAACAAGATTGGAAGCTACATCTTTGTACCTTTTTCTTTCTTTTCAATTTTTCTTTTATTTCCCCCTCCTTCTTGCACTTTTTGTTTTCTCTTTGCTTTCTTTATTTTCTTACTTTATATTACTCTTTACTTTCTTTTTAATAAAAATGATAAAACAGAACAGCTGCTTGGGGCATAGAATGAGTTGATTAGAGATACATACAGTATATTTCTGAGGAATGAGTGTATATAGTTTGGTATGTCACATCAACTGTGCTGCTGATAACATTGCTTATACACTTTCATACTAAAACTAGATCTGGCTCAGCCTGGTTATGACATCACTGGATCTGTCAAATGTCCATATTTAAAAACTCACAACGTTTGTTTTCATTTCTTTTTCTTGGTACGGGAATCCATGACAAACTTCATAATTTGTGTGAAATTACACATAGATTATAAATATTAGCAATGCCAAAACAAGTGTGTGGAACAATTAGTACTACACAGCACAAGTCTGATTTATATATATTCTGGGAGAAGTCTGGGAGAAAAAAATTCCTTCTCTAAATTTTGCTTTTAGCATTCAGCAGACTCATAGACCAACCATGTGCCTTTGCAGTGACATTTATTATATTATGGCTTCATCTTTAATTGTTCTTTTCTGCTAGCAAAATGAATCCAACGTAAGGCCTCATGAATCATATAATTATTTTACTTAATCCTCGTAAGTGCCTATCTTTAAGTGCCTATCTTGTTTGATTCTGAGGACATTTGGAGGTGCCAAATGTGTACCCATCATGACTCTCTTCATGTACAAGTTTCCACTATTCTAGAAGAAGCAGTCAAAGAAATGAATTGAAAACCAGAAATATGCAGCACACTATACAAGCAAACTGCATATGGAAAAAGATGATAGATGATGCTATGTGACCACATCAGTGGTGGGTTTCAACATTTTTTACTACCGGTTCTGTGGGTGTGGCTTGGTGGGTGTGGTGTGGCTTGGTGGACGTGGCTTGGTGGGCGTGGCAGGGGAAAGATACTGTAAAAACTCCATTCCCAACCCACTCCAGGGGAAAGTTACTGCAAAATTCCCATTTCCTCTGGATCAGCTGGGATTTGGGAGGCAGAGAATAGATGGGGGCAGCCCTGTGGAATGAACTGCCCCCGGAAATGCGTAAGATCTCCGACCTCCGAGTATTTCGCTGTGCACTCAAGACTGATGTTCCGCCAGGCCGGACTATCAACATAATAATTTTAAATTGGGTATTTTAAATTTCTGGGGTTTTAAATTGAGCCGAATTATTTAATAATTTAAAATAATTTTAATTGATGTTTGTCTTGTGCTTTTAATAGGCTGTACACCGCCCTGAGTCCTTCGGGAGAAGGGCGGTATAGAAATATAATAATAATAATAATAATAATAATAATAATAATAATAATAATAATATCATTATCATTATCATTATCATTATCATATTATTATTATTATTATTTATAATTATTTATAATTATTTATAATTATTATCAGTGGGTGCAGGAAAATTTCACAAACTGACTACCTACAACGCCATGACCGTGTTGCTAAAATCATTCACTGGAAATTGTGCCAGAAGTTTGGATTTGAGTACAGCAAAAACCACTGGGAACATCAGGTTGAGAAAGTTTTAGAGAATGAGAAACTCAAGATCTTGTGGGACTTTAGGATTCAGACTGACAGGCACTTGATCCACAACACACCTGACATAACAATAGTTGAAAAGAAAAAAGTATGGTTCATTGACATTGCAATACCTGGTTGCACGAATTGAAGATAAGCAGCAAGAAAAAATCACAAAGTACCGGGACTTACAAATTGAAGTTGAGCGACTGTGGAAAAAGAAATCGTGTGTTGTCCCGATTGTAATTGGAGCCCTCGGAGCAATACCCAAAGGGCTACCCCGCTATTTAGAAATTCTAAATTTGCCAGACTTGAACATTTTGACTCTACAAAAAACCACCTTACTCGAACAGCTTACATCCTCCGACGATACCTTAACAGTTCCTAGGTCCTTGGTTAGGACTCGAGCTGCTGAGCTATTAACCAGCCTCAAAGGCTGTGAATCTCACTAAAGATTAACCAATAAATAATATAATAATAATAATAATAATAATAATAATAATAATAATAATAATAATATGATGATGATGATGATGATGATGATGATGATGATGTCAGAATTTTTACTACCGGTTCTCCAAACTACTCCAAATTTCTGCTACCGGTTCTCCAGAACTGGTCAGAACCTGCTGAAACCCAGCTCTGCACCACATGTATAACCTTTCTGGATGTGCTTACTTGGGTTCACATGTCATTAGTGGAAAACTGGAATACTTTGTGTTCAGTTTTGAGGTACAAAACCTCATAACTGTTATGAGGTCATTACATACAGCTTCTATCACTTTATATTTATCCATTGCATTCTCAGACTTACTCTGGACTGGACTATCAGTTCAGTTCCAAATGCAGATTATGGTCTTTGAAACTTTATGATTTAGGGTCCTGCTGCTCATAGAATTATAGGTAGTCCTCATTTTTTAACCTGAGGGTGCACAAGAACAAAACTAAATTAAAAGATGGAGGAAGGAGAAAGGGAAATAACATTAAAGGAGGATATGTCTGGATGATCTAACCTCTCTAACCATACTACTTGGAGGACCCTGAGTAGGTTGAGAGTTGGAGTGTCTAAATGTAAAACCAATATGCTCCAGTGGAGGCTTTTACTGAGAAAAACACGCTATGTGAATATGGAGAAATACAGAGCCCAGCCCATCTGCTGTTATGTCGGCTAATATTACAGCTTCATTCTGCAGTTTAAAGTTTGATTTAGACATGGAAGAAGAAGAAGAATTCACAAATGCAATTGGAACCTGTTACATATAAATGTTGCCTAACGTTGCTTCCCCATGGCAGAGTAAGGGTTAACCCCATCTATCCACCTAGACCTCCCCCTGATCCCTCCTTACCTTGGCCCTGCCTCCCAGGTATATAAGGTGTGGTCCAGGGATCCAGATGTACTTCCAGATGTATACCTGTAACAGAAACATCTGATTAATAAAGAGCTCTGATTCAATTGCATTTCGTGTTGGAGTCATTGGGTAAGATCATTGGAAACACGTTACAGCTTGGTAGCAGAGGATGGTTAACCCACAACTCACAGAAATGGCAGAATCAGGAATCCAGTCCAATGCAGAAAACAGGATGTTCACCAGAACCTATACAAAACAGATGGAGGAGCTGCAGGCTCTCGAAGGCGCCACAGCGAGAATCGACCCGAACGAGCGTGAGCAGGAACATGAACCAAACTTACTGCTCTGGGACGAGGAACTGAGAGAGGAAACCTGCAGCAGCAAAAGAATAGAGCCACCGGGCAGAGACGACTTCCGATCGACCATTCTGAAGATACTGGAAGCGCCCACCAGCAAAGAGGAGCTCATTGCGAAACTCCAAGGCCTTCTGGAAAGCCATGGAGCAGCGATGAGCACCCAGGAACCAGAAAACGAAATCGCCAGTCCGGCAAGGGAAAGGCTTTCCCAAGCTGAAGCTCCAGACTTGGAGAATTTCATTTCCGCGCCATGCTCCTGGAGGCCATCTTGGAATGGCCGACAACCAATGAGGAGCTGAGATTTAAAAGAAATGGCGCGAACCTGGGGGGACCCCAACACAAGTGGGGAAGAACCCGAAAACCACACAGAAACAACAATGCAGGCCTGCAAGGGCCCACCTACTGGGCCCGAAGTGGAAAAAGCGATCAAGACTCTTGCGGCAGCACTCGGCTCCGCATTCAAGCCTCCCGCGCCTGCAAAGAAACACCCCAAGGCACACCAAAGCCAAAGGGACAACAGGGTGGCCACCGGAACCCATACAGCAACCCAGCCGACACTCAACGAGGCAATGCGCCCAGAAAGCAACCACCGGAACCCGATCATCTGCAGGATCGATCAACCGCAGGATTCGCACTCGCCACCCGCTGCACCAACTACTCAAGACCCAGGAATAAGAAGGCAAAGCAGCTACTCACCAGCTGTGCGACCCCTGCCAGGCTTCTCTACTCGTCCGGAGACCACCCAGCATCGACCCGGATCTACTGCCGCCGCTGCCGCTGCTACACCGCCGAGCTCCAGAGGTCCTCGACCTATGACTGTTTCGCCTCCTCACCTCTTCCCATTCTTCACCGGAGATCCAAGGACCCAGCCATGGCATCCGTCATCCAGGGAGGGCTACGGGCCCGCCAGGGGTGAGTCCAGCCTCCCACCGGCAGGCCTAGGCCTAGGCCTGAGAGCAGCAGCAGAGAGTTCCTCACCCGACGATCTCCGGCACGAAATGAGCTTCGCGCATGCCCAGTCGCTGCCTGTAAGAAAAGAGAGGAACATAGAGATAAATCCAAAGAACATAGAGATAAGTCCATACAGACTAGCAACTAGCATTCCCCCGGCATATTGCGAGTTCCCTCACCTACAAAACCATGGACAGCTCCAGACTGTGAGTAATTTACCATACAGCTCAATGACTTTGCCAGCTGATTTCCACAAGCTAAAACTAAACGGGACTAATTACTTAGAGTGGAATCATCAGCTACAAATTATCTTTCTAAGGGAAAATATGTTATTTTTACTTAATGATCCACCTAGAAAACCCTGGACCTTTGATATAGATTGCCTGCACCACAGGGCTTATTACTTGTTCATGGCAAGCTATCACCCAGCATCTATCCCAGCCTTGGCCACTACTTGACTGTGGCTGAGATATTACAAAAAATATTTAACTTATTCTATAGCAAGAGTGCAGCCACAACCACCAAGATATCTAGAGAGTTCTACTCAGCCAGGCACAAGGCTGGAGCTCCCATGGGTTAGCACATCCTAAAACTAAATGCTACCAGGGCAGAACTCATATAGAGGGGGGAAACTATCTCAGAAGATAGTATAAAGAGTATAATTATAAATTCCCTGGACTCTAGTTGGGAAAACTTTATAATGCAACTAGATAGCCTCAACATAGAGCACCTCTCTCTAGAAACACTTACCAACAGGCTGATAGCGGAGGATAGCCTAAGAAGGGACCGCTCCACGAGCCGCAGGGAGAGTAGACCAATAAAAAGGGTAGAGTTTCAAACCAGGGATCACAACACCCCAGAATGCTTTATCTGCAGCTCCAGAAACCATTATAAGAGAGACTGCCCCAGAAACCAAAGGGACAGAGACTACAATCATCGCAGGGAAAGGCAAGGCCGGAAGTCAGGGTACCCAGATAGGCACTCACCAGACAGCAGGTTCAGGCGCAAGGACTCCCCCAATCCCAGAGACAGGAGGGGACATAGAGATAGCTCCAGGGACAGCCAACCAGGGTCACTGTATGGCCTTGGAGACCATCAACCCACACGCACACAGCCAAGGAAAGAGAACACATGGCTCATCGATTCAGGAGCCGCCAACCACACCACCACCAACAGGAACATACTAACATCATTCACACCAAAGAAGTACCACATTAAGGTAGCCAATCAGGACAAGGTACTGGTAACGGGAGAAGGGAACACACACATAAATGGGATAGGGAAAATAGAGGTGGTACTGCTCATAACTGAGATACCTCACAATATACTGGTCACACTCAAGCTCAGCAAAGCCTTGGGCATTGAGACGACTTTTAAGGGAGGAAAGGTATACATGACAAAAGGCAATAAGGACATAGGCAAAATCATCATCGAAGGGGGGCTCACATACTTACAAACCCAAGATTATCCAGACGCAAACGCACAACTAGAAGATAGGGAAGGCAAAACAGGTACTCCCGGGGAGACAAAAGAGGATAAGGCCGAGCACACCACTGAGGACAAACACATTTCTGACATAGCACACAAGGGGAGGCCATCTATTGGCACACCCATCCATGATGAATGCGCCCATCTACTTCATAGGAAGTTGGGCCACGCCAGTTTCCCAATTGTACAAAAAATGACTGAATGTTCAAACGGTTTGCAAGTAAAGAACTGTAACAATTACCTAGAGTGTTCTGTGTGCAAATGTTCTAAACTAAAAACAAAAACAAAAACAAAAAAGGCCTCTCGCACCACCAATTCGACCTTTCAGTTAGTACACATGGATTTGGTAGGTCCCATGAAACCCTCTATTAAGTACAAAAAGAGATTTTTTCTAACTATAGTTGATGACTTCAGTCGTTACGGGTTTGTATACACACTCAATCACAAAAATGAGGTGTTTCAAAAGTTCAAAGAATTTTACAAGAGGGTAGAAACACAACACATCAAAATAAAACAAATTATGACAGATAGAGGCTCAGAGTTCCTATCAAGGGACTCTCCAATTGGATAAAGAAACATGAAATATTACATTTTACTTCTTCGCTGTTTTCCGCATTCCAGAACGGAATGTCGGAATGCAGGAACGGCGTATTACAAACAATGGTAAGATGCGTATTAGAAGACGCAGGGCTGGGGCAACACTTCTGGGCAGAGGCACTCACATACTCAAACTACACCCTGAACAGGCTATGGTCAAGCATGGTAAACAAAACTCCCTATGAGGTATGTACAATAGGAAACCCCAAATAGCTCACCTACACATATTTGGGGTCATAGCGGACGTACATATACCGAAGCAGTTAAGACGAAAGGGGGACAAGGTATCAAGGAGACTAAGATTTATGGGATACGAGTCCGGGACAAAAGGGTACAGGTTTATTGACAAGGACAATAAATTTATCGTATCCAGAACAGCAGTGTTTCATGAAAACACAAACTGGTCAAAAATACATCTCAACAAAGTGTTGTCCAGGCAGGAAGTCACAGACAATATAAGGGTCACGAGTAGACTAGACACAGCTGAAACTGAGGCACACGAGAAACACAAATCCAAACACCAAGGGGTAGCCACCAAGGGATGGAAAGAGGATCACCCCGTCATAAAGGTAGATGCACTCACAGAAAAGGAAGCCAAATACATGCATGACACAGAAACACTACCCAACAGGCCCGTCAGACACAACAGGAACAAAATGCCAAAAAAGATTTGAAGATTACTATCAATACACACAAACACCACGACACCCAACTCTTACGAAGACATTCTTAGGTTGCCACGAGAAGAAAGGATTAGGTGGGAGGAGGCCATGGAGAAAGAGATGAACAGCCTGAGAGAGCTAAATGTGTATACCCCATCCAAGGTACCAAACAACAAGGTACCCATTGGGACAAAGTGGGTTTTTAAAATCAAGGAGCTCGAGGACAATAAGACACTGTACAAGGCTAGGTTAGTAGCACAGGGATTTGCGCAAAAATACCCGGAGGACTACACGGATACATATTCACCCACGGTCAGGGCCGAGAGTGTAAAGAGCGCCCTGGTGATTGCAACAATTCTAGGACTAGAAGTTTACCAATTTGACGTGCAGACAGCCTATCTTCACGCGAAACTAGACAAAGAGATCTTTGTCAGGGCACCCCCTGGAAGAAACACACAGAAGGGGGATACCTGGTTGTTAAACAAGAGTCTGTATGGGCTGAAGCAATCCGGTAAGAGGTGGTATGAGTGCCTAGCAAAAATTCTCAGGGACATGGGATTCACAGCCACCTCCCCTAACCTATGCTTCTTCATCAAAAGGGAGGGCACATCCATTGAATACGTGCTTGTTTATGTGTGTCACTGCGTTTTTTATTTACCAGCTGAGCTCTCATTTCTGGACTATCAGACTTTTTGTAGCTTGCCAAGAATCCTTATCAGTAAGCTAAACTGCGCATGTACTCCACCCACATTCTTTCACACACCTTTCCAGAAGTCCGACTGCTGAGAAGCAGCCGGCATGAACTTTTATTCAAAATGTAACTTATTAGATCAGTTAGGTGTTTTATTTTCTTCTTTACAATAAATATGAGTTTAATTAGAAGATGTATTCCGGTTTTATTTTTCAAAAGTATACACAAGGAAAATGCCACGATCCAGGCAATTACCCCAGGAAGGTAACTGGGCTGATTGCCTCTGACAATGTGGACGATATTTTATATTGTGGCCAGCATAAACAGAAATGTTATGATTTCGCTGATAAGTTGGGGAAGGTGCATTTCGCACTAAAAACTCTGGGGAAGGTAAACAAGTACTTGGGTGTCCAGATCGACAGAACACAGAAAGGATTCAGAATCTCCCAAAAGGAGAAGATATTGGAACTATTACACAAGTGCAACATGAAGGATGCCAAGCCATGCGAAACACCCATGCAAGTTGACTTTTTAAAACACATGAACGAAGAAGGTGAGACATTTAAGGACAATACCCTCTATAGGTCTG